TGACAAACAACAGTGTCTTTGTTACGGGCGACCACCAGGGACTGCTGGCCTGGCATCCTCACGCTATTCAAATTACGGGGATTTCTATATTTGAGTCTGCAAGTTATGTGGCATTTCCAACTGTCAATTTGGTCTTCAACATAAACGTTGACATTGACAAACGAGCGGACGTACAGAGAATTTGAGGAAGCCGGAAAACTCCACGCTGGGAGGGTTTCGAATATTTTTTCAAGCACCTTTTATAAGATGATCCTTTTTTGAAATAGGACAAGGCCATAAATAAAAACTAGCGTCAGTGCTGTGACCCTTGAGGCATTTAGGGGTCGTTTTTTAATTAATGACAGTTCAGTTAACTACACCACACCATCTGTTTCTCAATCCTAATATTTGTAAAGTAGGCCTACTGTTAGGACCAAGCCTTGCTCAGTAGTATTTTGATTTCGACTAGTTTTTGTTATTACTGTTGATCAAGATTCCTTAAATAAAGCGTAGGCCTACTAGGAAAACACATGCGAATTGTTAATGTTAACACGAAAAACAATTAATATAAAACGTATTTTATTGTTATGTTTACAGAAACATTGAGCGAACTGTACATTACAAACTAGATGACCCGGCGAACTTTGTACCCCATAAAAGTAAAAAAAAAAACCAAATCAACCGGCCACCTTTATAAGTCTTTTAAAAACAATCACAGACAACATAAAAACGCTGAAAATGACTTTCAATTACATTACCTGTCAAATGTTTAATCAGCTGTTTCTAAAATATATTAAATTAATCTATGCATATGGTCAAAAACCATCATATTTTTCTTCATACGCATAACATACATATGTGGGGTTTAGCTCTAAATTTAAATACTGAACTGAAGATACATGTGTTAATCGGATTAAAGACGAATCCAACAAATCATAAATCATTAAAAAGATCCAGCCGGTCTCGAGTTACAAACTGCTTAACTAACACGACATCATGGCATGTAGCCTATATCTAGATGCATACTAAGAAAGTGTTTAAAAGTACAGTATTTTCTCTCAAAGTCCTGATATGAGGCAGAAAATCCATCATAGCGACCACTTTCAATTTCCATAGCTATATATATCTTAATCCACGTAAATTTCACGCCTAAATAACCCCATTTCAGAAGGTTTGCATATTCAGTGTAACCATACCTCGAGTTATACATTACCTGATTTTAGAGTTTTGGTCCAAGAAGGAAGTACCGGTAATTATTTTATAGGGCAAGCCTACTTGCGTGCAACCGCATCTTGTTTAAAAAAAGGTAAATTAAGTAATAAATTACAGCATCTCAAATATATCACAATTTATCACTCTATAATGCATAAAAAATATCATTTCAAATAATATTAGTTAACTGAATGATAAATTGTCATATCTTAGACAAGCTGTAACTTCTGAATGAAAAAAACCTTTTTTAACCAGGTTAACGCACACCCAACTTCCGAAAAATGACTGCAAGGTTTCATTCAATTGTGCCAAATACTTTAGTAGGTATCAGACGTTTTCCAAATTATAAACTTGAGTTTAATGGCATAATATTAAAAGCCTTGAGGAACTGTAACTTTGATTAGATGGACCATTTACGAAGCGGTTTGTGCTGTTAAAGTTAATCTTATTATCAATGTGTATGCATTAATTGACATTAATTGCATCAAGTATTGACAAGTTTCTGTTTTCAAACATCAGACTAGTAAGTAAAACGAACAGGTGGGCCTATTGAGGGCAGCGGTGCCAATCTGTCGTATACTGCTACGACTGATTGGCACCTCTGCGGCCGCCGTCAGCTTGTCACCACGACAGATTGGCACCACTCATTTCTTGAGGTTCCAATCTGTCGTGTACTGTTACGACTGATTGGCACCTCTGCGGCAGCCGTCAGCTTGGCACCACGACAGATTGGCACCACCCCTTTCTCCAGGTTCCAATCTGTCGTGTACTGTTACGACTGATTGGCACCTCTAGGAGCGGTGCCAATCTGACGTGGTGCCAATTAGACGCGTACCCACTATCGTTAACCTTCACTCCAAATTCTTGGAAGCGTTGAAGAACTTGCTCCAACCTAGACACTGCTTCAGGGTATGAATGTCCGCCAATCAAGACATCATCAAGGTACACTACCGTACCGGGAAGATTTTTAATTATCTCATCAATAGCTGCCTGAAACAAAGCAGGTGCACTGGATAGGCCATATGGCAAACGAGTAAGACGAAATAATCCTTTATGTGTTGCCAAGGTTAACAACTCCTGTGAATCCTCAGCGACCTCCAGTTGAAGATAGGCTGTCTGTAAATCAATAACAGAGAACACAGAACAACCAGATAATGAAGCAAAAATATCCTCGGGTTGAGGTAAAGGATAGTGTTCAGTTTGGATAACTTGGTTTAACGTTACCTTAAAGTCCCCGCATAGCCTAACTCCTGTAGGCTTAGGCACAACAACCAGTGGGGTTGCCCAGTCGGAACTCAAAACAGGATAAGCAATTCCATCATCCACCATCTTGTCTATTTCCTCTTCCACTTGTTTGCGAAGAGCGAACGGCACTGGACGAAATTTGCAGAACTTCGGTACAGCTCCATCTTTCAAAATTATATGTGTCTTCACACCCTTGATTGAACCTAATTTTCCTTCAAACACAGAAGAAAACTTTTGCCTTAAATGCTTAACATCTTCCTTGGCCCTAGGCTGAACCGAGTCAGCCGATTGCAGTGAAGTTAGGTTAGGTAACTTGTCAATAGAGTTTAAAAATGAAATGAAATGAAATGAAATGCTTGAAATGAAATGCTTTATTGTCGTTAAAACTGAGTACAAAGTTCATGACAATCGTCAAAAGAAAAAGAAAACAATCAAGATGGCAACTAAAACTAAAACTCTAAACCAAAGTACTCTTCATGTTTATACAGGCAAGCCTGGGTTAGAGTAGTTTTTAAAACATGTTTAAATTTTGAAACACACAGGTTTTTGATGGATGCAGGCAAGAAATTGTACATTTTAACACCTTGGTACTCAAAACTATTTTGAGTGGCTGTATACTTATGCCTTAGTGTAGACAGATTATCTTTAGATCTAGTACAATAGTTGTGAACATCAGATATCTTTTCAAAGTGAGAAATGTTTTCTTTTACATACAACAAACTTGCCAAAACATACAAGGATGGAAATGAGAGAATGTTAAGACTCACGAAAAGGGGCTTACAATGTGTTCTTCTATTCACACTACAAATTAACCTCACCGCCTTCTTTTGTAAAGTAAAAAGCACTTTAGTGCATTTTAGGCCAACTAACATTTTAGGCTAGGCCTATTAAAAACGTGCTCGTCGGAGCGGTTTACAGTTTTATCTTGAGAAAATATAGACTTCCAGTCTAAGGTTACATGTTCAAGCCAGTTTCTACCTAGCAACATTGGTTGACCCGTTTGGCCTAACTCTACAATAACTAACGGCAAGTCCTGATAAATTTGGTTGGCCGCTTTTACTCTAACCAAAATCTGTCCCAACACACTTACTTCATTTCCTGAATAGGTAAGTAGTTTTACATAACAAGGCTTTAAAGCCAGATGTGAAAAATATTTCCGATACGACTCAAAGGGGCAGACCGTAAGGGCGCTGCCTGTATCGAGCTCCATGGTCACATTATGGTTTTCAATCAGCAACCCTACTTCATAACCCGCCTTTCCATCTCCAAGGCCTACACTATACAGACATAAGTCCTGTAAAACTTCCGATGTCTCTTCAACATTGTGAACCTTAAACACTTTTTTGTTAGTCCTAGGCCTACTATCAGACACATCCTTTGACCTACACACCTTACCAAGGTGTCCAATTTTTTTACATATATTACATTTAAAATTGATATAAGGACATTCATGAGCCTTGTGCTCTTTCGCACAACGATAGCATTTGAGCTTATGAAATTGGCCAACTAGGCCTACCTCAGCAGGTGACCTTGAAAACTTAGCTGATTTAACTCCGTGCTTGGCACTTAGGCCTACTTTACGTGGACCTAGACTCATTTTATTTAAATCATGAACATGGTTCCCTGAACCTACAAAAAGACTAGTTTGTTTTTCAGCTTGCTCTAAGGTTAGTGCTAATGAAAAAGTTGAATCCAAATCTTGTTCATCACTGAGAAGTTTTTGCCTAATTGCCTCATTGTGGATTCCAGATATTAATTTATCCCTGAGTGCATCCTTAAGAAAGGCTTTGAAGTTACATGTGCTTGATAAATGCCTAATTGCTACCATAAAATCAGCAATACTTTCATTGGGACGCTGAACACGTGAGTAGAACGTGTAGCGTTCGGCTACCACTAACCTTTTTGGAGAATAATGTGCTTCCAACACCTTTAACAGATCCTTATAATCCTTGGAATCTACCGAATCTGGTGATACTAAGTCCGTGAGAACAGCCAGAGCTTTTGGTCCAATTACAGTAATCAAAATGGATAACTCCGATCCTTCCTTTACGCTGTTGGCCTTCAAGTAGTGTTTCAGCCTCATTAAATATGACGAAATATCCTCTTCATGAGGGTTGAACTCCCCCATACTCCCTATTGAACGGGACGACATGGTTCCTCAAATTAATTTTTCAACAATCCGCACTCGCTAAAAAGAAGTTGAACAAAATTTGACTACGACTGCGCCATTTGTAGTAACTACTAAGATTAAGGATAAGAAAACATGGCGACATCTGATTACACACCTTGCTAGACTTGAAGTGACGATCATCAAGACGGAAAACTCCTTGACCGATCGGCAGCCAATCAGGGAGCTCCACGCCGATGTAGGCAGTGCAGCCACCCAGTAACTTAATCTGTTTCCGGTTACTAATAATCTAATATGGTCCTATTGCTACTATATTACACCAAGTTAGCAGTCCTAGCCCCTCCCACATCCACGACAGACCAAAACATCACTTTCTGGATAGCCCTCGTATTATCTATGTATTTTAAACATTTCTAACAGAACCATATGATTTTAGGTGATGGCATACTTCACACTCTGCCTTTGGCTTGTACCATTTGCCCTGTTCGTCTCATTGTCAGCCAATGAAAATGTTCTACCAACAATATCAGAATCAACACCTTTACTGGGTAAGTTCAACAAACCACTCTCCTTTGAAGATAAAGTGTTGTGTTGGTATTGCATGCTGTACCGAGCTGTCTACCTGGCAGATGTGTGTGGTACGCAAAGTATATTATGTAGCCTACACATGTAAGGTTTTGTAATTTTGTTTTGCCTAGGAATGTATAGGGTGTTTTAGTTGATTAGTTGATACTTTAAAAACCTTACAACTTGAATACTCCTCGGATTTGTTGAAGTGGAAGATTACAATTAACAATGGTGGCTTCACTGGTAGGTAGTACAGTCTAGCCTTGATATAACGAACCTCAATATAACGAATTCCTTGATATAACGAATTTGTTTTAATCCCCTAGAACTCTCCATAAGAGACTATGTATATTTTACCTCTACATAACGAACAAACCATAACAACGACCTTGATTTAACGAATTTTTCGTGATTTCGGCTAAAATAAGACACCTCAATATAACGAATTTATCATTGTCAGAACCTCTACATTGCGAATTTAACCTCTGCATAACGAATTGTCTACGTCTTTCCCTTGATATAACAAATCCCCCACACCAGTATTGTTTTTGGAAAACTGTTTCTTTATCAAATTAAATGGAAAGGTGACGTCAACGCTTGCGCTAACATTCGTCTACTCCGTTTTACCGTTTTACACATCTCTCTGTCTGCTGTCGCTGCGCATGCAATGTTGCAACTGAGTACTGATTTCATTCACTGAGGACTGATGACGACGTAATCTGTAGTAAGCTGTGATTGGGTGATAAGTAAATAATGTGAATTGTACAATTTTTGGATAAAGATAAATCTAAGAAAGAATATAAAAACAAAAGCAAAGAGAAAGAATAACAACATCGTTATTTTAACATTCCTTAATTTACGAGTGTTTTTATTATCTTTAAGTTGGCTATGAATATGCACTTTTATAATGACTTATCTAATAATTTATTGTTTTCAATACGATTTGTTTCAACTAGCAACACCAATGCTATAGTTAATGATTATTATTGACATTCCTCTGTTGTGATAAATCAGTACTGTACTTTAAGTAGCCTACTGGCCTATCACGGAGCAGTCAGTAGCTTACAAAACTTTGTACTGTTTTGTTTTGTTTTTTACATGGTTTATGACTACTCAATGCTGTGTTTGGCTAGGTTTTAGGAGGGTTAGAACGAGCTGTGATTTTAAACTTACAGTTTTTAACCTGTACCAAGGTCAATGCTATTGTCATGATTGCGCAATATTCAAGATCCCTCACCTTTATTATGCCGGATAATTTAGGTTCTACCATTGACTATTGGATACAGAAAGTTCTACTGTACAATGAACACTGTACTGTAAAGTATTGTAGCCTATGCTACTTTAATTGTGTTTTAATGAGGTCAAATCCCGGCCTATATTGACCGACGCTGGTTCTGAACCTCGACTTAGCGAAATTCCTGCAAACCTAACCTCTATATAACGAACCTCATTTTAACGAAATCCTTGATATAACGAATATTCAGTTCGGTCCCTTCAGATTCGTTATACTGAGGTTGGACTGTAGCTTTAAGAGGTTGGATAATGGAGGCTACTCTAGAATATTTTGAATCAGTCAGGAGTTGGGTACAATTTCTTCCCTAAAAATAAGTAGAAAAACCGGACGCGTTGCAGAAAGTCAACAGTCCCGGAAGGTCAAATAATTTATACCTGTGCCGCTAGGTCAAAAACTACAATGTTTGCAGTGTCTGTAGATCAAAAATCCCAGTAAGTCAAATAGTACAGTCCGGGCTAAAAACGTAGTCTATGTTAAAGCAATTGACTTATTGGGAATTTGACCTAATGCAACAGCAGTTTTAATATAACGAAATAAGATAAAATATAAGTTCAGTTTCGCTGAGTCAACAGTGCCAGAAGGTCAAAAGTATAATCTGTTAAAAACAACGATAGTCCTCTCGACGCATGACTTCAATAATTTCGTGTTTTGGTGTACTTAAAGTTGTGCTAAAATTTTGAAATTTGGTACAGAGCTTCTTGGTTAGTCCTACTCGATGACTATTTTGTTGGAACTTTAAACTATTTACCGATCTAATTAATAAAAATTGATTTGTATGGTGAAATAGTTTTAAATCGTGATTTCTAACATGAAAAAGTTAGCATGCGAGATTTTTTTTGTTTTTGGGTTAGAGAGGTTTTGTCTGTGGCAAAGTTGTAGCCAAAAGCGTGATGCGTAAAATATATTTTTTTGAATTTTTTACAATCAGTGGTTCAGCAGATAACTTGGGTTGAAGAGGACGGCAAATTTAGCATTTCGCAACGCATGGAAAGAACTACATCGTACGATGCGACTGCTGAGTGAACTTTTAATTTATAGTTCTAAGGACAAGAAAAAGATGAATATACAGATCACCAGTACATTCATATTATTTATAAAACATCTTTCTTTATTACCAGCTTACATTTTTCACTTATAAGAATACATCATAAACAGGGTGTTAAAATAAGCGGGGAGATACTTTACCTAGTAATTCCTTGGGTCAAAATAAACAGAAAATCAAGGCTAACATTTTTTCCAAAATCATTTCGTTAACCAGATATCCACCATTTTGTATTTTTTACATACAAATATTTATCTTTGCACTTTTCCAACCGATGTTTATGAAACTTGGTATGTATGTTAAGGTAGGAGAGACGCATGTTATAAACAAAGATTCATCTCGATTCACCCTAAAATTTCAAAATTTAACACTTAGGGTAGCTACAATATAATATACTTTACTACACCACAATATTTACGTATCACCATAAATCTTTAACAAAAGAAAACGTTAACATTTTTAAAATCCAAAGTAAATCAATATAATATTTCTTTTTTGAAAAATATATTTAAAAAAAAGGCGATGGTAAAATAACGACAGGCGAGTTTCGATCTGGGTGTTTCAGGTTTGAATCTAGGAGGATTTAACATTAATTAACATTAATGTTTAATCCTCCTAGGTTTGAACTGATTGAGAGGAATACATGAAACCGAAGGGGGGAGGTAGCAACAAGTTCACTAGTACAGGGTGATTACCGAGAAACGCATGTTTTTCAAATAACGAGTACTCAGGTAATTCAGAGCAAAAAATTTATTTATGAGTGGAAAAACAGTGTACACAATATGCAATTTCAGAATAAAATTACTTGCAATTTAGCATTTAAAAATTACATTTCTAACGTGGTGGTTAGAGAACATTGATAATTTTACGGGTCGCCTTCTGCTTTGATACAGCGTTGAAGGTGTTCCTTAAAACTTTCTACGGACTTTGCTAACATAACATATCTCTAGGAATGGCGTTGATTTCCTGGCGAATAGCTTCTTAAAGTTCCTGTATTGTTTTTGGTTTGTTTATGTAAACTCTAGATTTAAAAAATCCCCATAGAAAGAAATCTGGAATTTTAAGACCTGGTGAGCGCTCGGCCAAGTGACACCACCAAAACGTGGGATAACTCTTTTAGGTAATGTTCGCCGAAGGAATTCCATTCTAATGCGAGCTGTATGGACTGTTGTCCCATCTTGTTGGAACCATATGTCATTACGTACACGTTGATGGCGCAGTTCCGGCAAGAAATATTCTTCCAACACGTCTAGGTACCGTTGTGGAATCACTGGAGTCACTGTTTTGCCGTCGCGGCTAGGACTCTCTGAGCTGTTGCAAGGCGCACTCTTTCAACTGCCTCAGGGGTACTAACTGTCCTTGCCAGTCCAGGAGGTTTTCTCTTAAGCAGAGATCTAATTGAGTTTTACATTATGTATCCAACGCAATATCGTGTTACGATCAGGGGTAGCGCCATGCCGTGCAATGTTAAAATGTGTATGAAAGTCTCGCTGAGTCTGAGTGACTGATTCACCATTTGCGTAATATCGTCGCATGACAAACATACAATGCTCAAGGTCCCACATCTTGGCAAAAATTGAAACTGCACACTTCCCCCTACACATCGCAACAACTTCCGGCCGTCGTCGAACGATATTCCTTGTGTACTACGAAAGTCAAAAGCATGCGTTTCCCAGTAATCACCCTGTATTTACTAGTGTCCAATTACAATTTGATGGATTTAACCAAAACCTTTTCTATTTCACTTATTTTCAGCTGTTAAATTTCAAACGATACATTTTAGCGACTTATCATCATCATCGTTTGAGTTTGGGTTTGCGGCAATGTATTTTTATGAATAAAACCTTTAATTTGATACCAAACTTGACCTCTGCTGCTATTAATTGACTGTATGCACTATTAATTAACAGCTGTGTCTAAGGATTATGTCGGCCTTAGTCACAAACAGGACAACAAGATCGCTCCACTCATCCCACACTCATCCCCATTCATACTTGGCTTAAAATGCATACATTTGTATGGTCGCCATTTCAAAGCAACATGGCTACATTATCGATCATAGATATAATAACCTTTATGAATTAGCATTATTCGGTGTAGAGTTTGAGACCATTGTCTTTAAATTTCAACACAAAAAAAGTTTTGTTATTAAATAGTTTAGTTTGTTCGTATTTTTCCGCCTACAGCCCACTCATCACACACTCATCTCCATTCATACTTGGCTTAAAATGCATACATTTGTATGGTCGCCATTTCAAAAATAGGTAAAATAGTATTAAAATTATATAAGAATTTTGTCTTAGTCTTTGTGGTCCACCCCCCTTCAGGGATAAAAAAGTGATAATAGCTTAAGACAGTAGATATTTATGGCTATTATTGATATACCAAGTCTCACTACTTTATCTATATTGTTAAAAAAATATAGCCAATCCAGGACTTTTCAACCATACTGTAACGCCAACACGAAATTTTTCCGTTGAACTCTTCCGCATTTCTTAGGCGATTTTGACCATTCATGTCTCATTAGAAAGAGCGTGTCACGTACATTTGCAAACCAACCTTACGTTTTAAAATCCCTTGGGCTCAGCCCCAGTGGCTCTTAAAGAACCCATGTTATGCCTATGAAGAACATATTGATTTATTTATATAAGGATCAGCTCAATTAATTGCTGTTATGCAATTCAAGGAAATAATGTAGGCTACATTATTAACATGTTACTGATTTTTTTGAAATACTATATTTACTATTTTTATTTGGGTTTGCTGGATAATTTAATCCATTTTACCAAACAATAAAAATTAATTAAGTAATATATTTAATGAGCAAAGGACCTATTGAAGTCCTCATCAACCAAAAGAATGCCTACTAAAGCAAATAAAATTGAGACGAACATGTAATGCACGAAATCAGGAGGTTCTTAAGTATGTGAAAAAATGTATCGCTATTCAAAAACAGACGGAAAACTTGTAAACATATTCGTGACAACGGGTGTAACATGTCTACATTATCATTGACAAACGTGGACAACCTTATACGAGTGTGAGTAAGTCCGAAACAACTCTAAAAAACAATAAACAATAAATTGCAAGAACCGTTGCTTATATCATTGGGTATACACGTATCTACTGACGTGTATACTCAATGCTTATATCGAACTGTTATATGTACATCGTGAGTATTTCCATTAGTTGTTCCATTTAGTTGTGTGTCCATTAGTATAATATTTTAGTTGACTCTTTTAAAGTCAGCGGAAATTGTGACTGTTATTACCCTTGAAATAATGTTTGTGTAGTACTTTGCAATCCTACCAATGCTTATAGAATCATACGATTACAATTTTCTGGTTAGAATATGTCGCATAGAGTGGTGACTACTGTATCTTTTTGGTTTGCTTGTAAAACAGGATCAACAGAGATTTTCCATCGACTTAAACAATACGATACTCCCAAATTGTTCTTTGCAATAACAAAATATCACACAGTTTGATGAATATTTGTGTGTAAACTGTAAACCACATACAGTACACCTGTATTCTATCTATTTTACCTTTTATTTTCCCAAGACTTTATAGAAAATCACGCATTACGTGATCAGTGAAGAAAGGCTGTATCCCACGTGTTTTATAGGTTAAGAAGACAAGGACGGTCCTAGACATATATTTGGGGGGGGGGGTCACCGGGGGCCTGGGGGTATGGAATACCCCCAAGAAGGAGGGGGGTCGTGGGGAAAAATATATAGATAAATAAATATAGGCTATAAAGGGTGATCAACTCAAGGAGGCCACCATTGGGATATCGGAAACGTTAAGAATTAGAGAAAACTTAAAATGGGGGACATTCCTTTATTTTTGTGGTAGTTAAAAATATGATTTTAACACCCTATATTTTATCATGTTTTCGGATAGAATAGGCAATTTAAAAACTTTTTTATCCTTGACATTTTTTCGATAAACCCACTAGTTTAGGAGGACATTATATGGTGTTTTTCCATATATTTTTTAAGCATATGGAAAAATGACTTCCGGTGTACATTTTACATCATGTAGCTCCTAAACAAGTAAGTTTATAGCAAAAATGCAAAGAGTAAAAAAGTCTTACAATTGCATCCACATTCCAAAAAGACCATAAAATTCATTAAAAATATGAATTATATTATTAAAAAAATGGCGGCAAACTTGAAAAGTGGAAAACTTTTTGTTTTTTAGTCTTTAAGGAATGTAGATGCAATTCTAAGACTAATTTACTTTTTGCAATTTTGCTCTAAACTTACTCGTTTAGGAGCTACATGATGTAAAATGTACACCGGAAGTCATTTTTCCATAGGCTGTACTCCTAAACGAGTGGGTTTATCGAAAAAATGTCAAGGCTAAAAAAGTTTTTAAATAGCATATTCTATCCAAAAACATGATAAAAAACTAAAATCATATTTTTAACTGCCACAAAAAATAAAGGAATGTCCCCCATTTAAAGTTTTCTCTAATTCTTACCGTTTCCGATTTTCCAATGGTGGCCTCCTTGAGTTGATCACCCTGTATATATGAATTTGAAAGGATGGTGTTTTTGGCCTCTAGGGACCTCAAAACGAAAAATTTAATCGGTCCCGGGTCCAGGTGTTACCATAAGTACTACGGTAATAGCTTATTCCCTATATGGGAAATTCGCCAAAAACCTAATAGTTATATAGAACAATATTACATTCAACCAGCTGTTAGTTAAAACAAATTATATGGGACTAAAACAAATCAATGAGAACAAAGATTCCTTTAAAAAACCATTTGAACATCCTACTATTTTACTATGCATATTTAATTAATCTGCCATCCTCATACCTAAGAATTGAATGTATCAATGGTCAGCATTACACATAGTATAAATAGGTCAACTCTAAATATGTCTTTAAATTTGTTTCCAAATGCTGAATGTTTACAGCTGTTATGTTAAGCAAATTATATTGTACCAAAAGCTAGCTTAAGAAGGTTAGCGTCGGCTGCTAGACTTTTTAAAAATTAAAACTTAATTTCTAAAAAACTGGGACCCTTAATTATAATTATGGCTTTGACATTCCCTCGTTCTCAAAATTATCTTTCTTTCAACACAAAAATAATGAAAATCCGTCGACTGGTTGATTCAGAATGTGAAAAACCCCCATTTACGTTTTAATAATATATATGATAGTTTGGACAGGTTTCAACCCTTCCGAGGCGTAATACATTTACACAGTTGATGTGTAGACTACATTATAACTCATAAAATAGTTCTAAAATTAAATGGGTCTCCTTTTACAAACGTATATAATAACCAGAAATTTTCAGATCGTCCTTGCGTGTATTTCATGCCACAAATTTTGACGAAAGGCTTTCCATTACATAAACTATACCTATTTACAGTGTTGACCAAACAGTTGGCAAGAAGCATTAATAGATAAGCTATGTACCAAATATGATAATTTTAGCTCTATTCTAATTATGACAAAACACGAAATAACTAAAAGCGAGTTTTGTTGGTGTAGTAAGCGTTGCAGGAGGTCTACTTTACACTGAATCGACGTTCACTTTTATTGCTTTTGATCTTCCGGCACTGTTGACTCAGCGAAACTGAACTTGTATTTTACCGTATTTCGTTATATTAAAACTGCTGTTGCATTAGGTCAAATTCCCAATAAGTCAATTGCTTTAACATAGACCACGTTTTTAGCTCGGACTGTATTATTTGACTTACTGGGACTTTTGATCTACAGACACTGCAAACATTGTAGTTTTTGACCTAGCGGCACAGATATAAATTATTTGATCTTCCGGGACTGTTGACTTCCAGCAACATTCCCGAAAAACCTATATCCGTTCAAAACTAAACCATTAAAAATATCCTGCGTCACCTATGAAACTGGACAGATGTTTTTTTTTTGCTAAAGAAGGTAATATAATTGGGTTAAGGTCAAGACAACTTAGTAGTATTTTAAATATTGAACACTATATTCTGCCATTGCTCTCATTTTAGAATACTCATGATCATACCTGCAAAACCAACTATTGACTAAGGACCCAAAGCACGAAGAGGAAGTTTCAACTGTCGCAAATGAAATAAAATCTAATATGTTTGAATAAAAATTGAACCTTTATAATTAAAATAATTTTTTGGGGTTGTAGTAGGAATATTGTACAAGACTATATTGTAAAATATCAATTAGTTGAAACACTTGTCGCCAGGGCCGGCCCGACCTGGTCTAACCTCTCTGATCAGGCTTGAGTCCAGCTTTTTCTTCATAATTTTATGGTTTTCTAATTGCAAACTTATGATAATTTTGTACTTTTCAGGTGGGGACAATGATGTGGTGACAAATTATTTTTCAACCCGCAATAAAAAATATGGATTGCTCACATTTTTTAACTACGCCAAAGACTCAATACTTCCTCAAAGAAGCAAGAAGACTTTTTAAATAGGTTTTTCTTAGTGTGTATATACTCCCTCTATCACCATGTGATATTGTACTTTGTTGTGTATATATTATCGTAAGGTGTATTTTTATTTTCAGTTGTTCGATTGTAGCTTTGACCCTTATTAAAAACAAGACATTATCTATACAAAATTGTATTTTAGTCTCTTAATTACTTTCATTCAACCAAAATCAAATGGAAATTATTGTTTTACACACTAAACCTTAGGTCATGACTCACCAAGTGATCCAGTGAGTGAAGTGGCTCACTGTGAAAGATAGTCATTAATATTTATATAAAAGAATTTATTTATAAAAATAAACACATCTGCCTTAAAAAATAAGGTTGCCAATGACACAGAAAAAAAAATTTATGTTAAATAAATGTTTATGTTAAAATATCTTCTATCTGTTAGAGTAAGGACACTTATAAATTTTTTTCCCCTAACAGTAGATATTATGCCCCTGGTTGCCAAGGTTCTATTGTATTGCCTATTTAATTGGTATGATTAAAAACCTCTATGTTTATGATGTTTAACTTAAGAATATATTCAAATATATATATATATATATATATTTATATATATACAATTCAAATTTATTTATTTATTTAGGATATTACAAGCATGGCCTCGCCAAGTTTACAAAACTTGTCGACAAGGACCAATAGATTAAAAAAAACTGACAAACAAAGTTTACAGATTTTTCTCTTTTTCTTTTGTTTTGTTTTCTAAGTACAATGAATTATGAAAACTAGTTCTAAGGCGGTTCGTGGCTGGCACTTATTAATAACAAGAGTGTTTTGGCAGCTGAACTTAATTCTAAAAGCGTTAAAAAGAAGTGTAATGAATAAACAATAGGCTATACAATCAACACAATGAGATTGTTTGAAACAAACTTTAATAAAAATATATACTGATAACACATACCTATCACAAATAATATAGTGAGCTAAAAATTACAATGTATAATAAGACATGGATATTTTTATCATTTTTCATAAGGCGCTAAAATGCCAAGATCGCCAATTGTTCTATTTGTGCTGGTAGTAAGCACGGACAAGAGAGGGCATCACCTATGCAACTTATCACTCTTCAGCTCTGGCACCACCAAGATGGATGGCATTCAGCAGTCTGTCAGCAGGTAAGATCTCCTCCCTGAGAGAGGCTAGCAGAGACGAGGTCACGTCACTCTCCTCAGCCTTCAAGAACAAATGGAGGTCAATGTGTCAAACACTACAAATTATCTTTGCAGAAAAAAACACAACGTTGTATTAATGACAACAAAAGTCGTCAATGAATAAAGGCTTATCAGTAGAATATTTCATTAAAAAATATTCACCCTACAAACAATTTTTTTTTACACTCTTTTACCTGGACAGGAAAAAACTGGAGTTTACTGGTTAAAAGGTACCTGTGAAGCCTGTGATAGAGTACACCTAATGTCAAATTACCAACTTGGTATCAAAATGAAACAACGATAACAATAATAAGGATAATAGTATATTATGTTAATAGGCCGGAAAAAATAGGTGTTTACCAAGTATGGTTGTTCCCAAGTGATGTACAGTACAATATTTTTCCTACAGTCACCCGACAAAGTTGGCTTCCTTGTACTGTTTATAGTACAGAAAGCTGCTAATTGCTGCATATTTATACTTTGTCGTACGGTTTATACTTTGGCGCACATCAGGATTCCAACGAAACAACACAAAACAGTGTGGTTCTATTATGCACGTAATCCGTGTACGCTTGGAAATAGGTTGGCAACACTTAAAGATAATAATACTATGAGCAGCTGGTTGACTATTATAACTACGATTTAACCTGTCATTTCGTGTTAATAGTTTCGGTATTTCTGGACTTTTCTTTTAAACGTTTTTAAAACATTCCTACGATCTTAATGAACAAGAAAATACCTTTAAAGCATTTTTTTAGGCACGGAAACCACTTCAAATTACAAAAAAATACGGAACTATATTCTCAAGTCGCGGAGCACATTTCTTGCCGAGGAAAAATAGCGGAGTGATACGGACCGGGTACTACTTTCTCTAGGGCACCTATTTGTGTTGCCAGCTGAACCTAAAAACGTGTTGTATAGTGTTTGAAAGACTAATTATTTATATGCTCTATAGTGACTGTAGGAAAAATATAATGTGTAATACGAGTGCAAAAGGCCTTTGCTGCACTCGAGATCATTCTCGTAAACATTGCTCTTGTGTGCAGCAAGGTGCCACATTGCCCACTATTTTGCCATACTACTCTCAACTAACATAACAATAAAAGTATAAAACTTTCCAAATCCGTTGTATATTCTCTCCAACACAAGGCCCTACTCATAACTTCTAAGAGAGGTTATGTTTAAGATAATAACCACTCATTGCCAATTAATATTCCGGTTATTATTGGTTCTGGTTAAAATTCATTACAGAACGTTACATGACAGATTATGTTGAGCTTAATTAAGCATAGCAAGCGAAGCTCTTTGAAAACCGGATCTTATGGAAACTATGTCAATAACTACTATGTGCAAACTATCAATTAACTTAAAACCGGCTGAATATATTTAATCCTAATTTTTCCAGGATTATTTTGACAAACAGTCAGTGTTGGGGAAGCTACTTTTAAAATGTAGCTAGCTACAACTACTGCTACATTTCCAAAAAAGTAGCTTAGCTACAGCTACAGCTACAGTTCCGCAAAAGTAGCTAGCTACAACTACAGCTACATTGAAATGTAGCTACAGCTACAATTTTAGCTACTTTTCCAAAGACGTTACTTTTTATTCCACGCACATTAGGTAAATGTAAAATTAATTGCAACTACATTTTTACTGAACAAACATTAAAAAAATGTCAGTATTGTATCTAACATTAATTGGAAAACAAATTATTCCTAGATTGTATTTAATTTTTTGGCATTATAAACCTAACATTACAACAACAGAACCAAATAGTTCGGTGTCCCATCATATTTAGTATTTATTTTTAAATATTGCATTATTTTTATGCATCTTAAATGTAAATTTCATTAAGTTCAAAGGACATACAACCAAACTATATTTTAAAAGCTCATTTTATTTCTTTAATATAGATTCATTTATAGATGTTTTATATCAACAATTAAGGACAATAAAACTGTAAAACGATTATTTAAAAATACTTTTTTGTGTTACAGAGCCTAGCCTACTGAAATTGGAGTTTATTGCCTTTCTTTTAATGTTAAAAACGACATTGCTATAAACTTTTAAGTGATAAGTTACTTGTACTATGAATAACACTTTTCAATGTCAAGAAATCGTCCTTTATTGTCATTATGCATAGGGCAAATTGTGCTTCAACCTAGTTGGTACAGAAAACAGTATCCAGTAACTTATCCTGAAATCGGCTTTTAATTTAAACATGTTGAAATTTGTAAAGTAAAAATAACATGTAGGCCTACTTGGCTATGTAACAAGTTGGCTATAGTAGGCTTGTTCTTGCTAGGACTAAACAGATAGGATTCCTAATAATTGAACTTGGAACTTGGTATTCGTCTTAAGGTTTAAAGTGTTGGTTTCCATTAAAATCCAAGTTGAAACACTATCGGTATAATAAACAAACTAAATTGATTACTAATTTCCCTGTCAATCACTTGCAAGCATTCAATAGCTTCTCTTGTCACCGGTAACGTCTAAACGTCGTCTGCATCTAGCGATTTTATTTTATCTGACAGTAATCATAGAGTAGTAAATTAAGGAAATGAGAGCCAAAAATGTGGATAACACTCATTTAATGGCCTCCATGTCCACACAACGTTGTAATAGAATAGTGAATGAAACGGCTGCAACCAGCTGTATGAAGCCAAGAAAGTAAGGCCTAATTTTTTTTTTAAATCTCAGTTTGAAAGAGGTTGTTTCACGTAGTTAAGGTTGAGGTTATGATAAAAATCACTATCTCAAACAATGTTAATGTAGCGAGAAAAGTAGCTAAAATTCCGCTACAACTACTTTAAAAATGTAGCTAGCTACAGCTAAAGCTACAAAATCTTAAAAGTAGCGTAGCTACAGCTAACGCTACAAAAAAAGTAGCGCGCTACTGTAGCGTCGCTACTTGTAGCGCGCTACTTCCCAACACTGCAAACAGTTTTCATGTTATTAAACTAACAAATTTCAATTTAATAATGTCTGTACAATTTAAAACCAACATAATGTTTTTAGCATTAGCCTAATGAGTTGCCATGATGGTTACGAGATAACAACGTAGATGTAAACAAAGAATCATAGCATACATGCTATGAATAAAGTTAAAAGTTATTAAAATAAAGTTGTTAGCAAACCAATATACGATCAAAATACAGCACAAAGGGAAAACTACTAAGGTGACAACCTTTAATCAAAGAATGAACTTGATTTTTATTCTTGAACTGTTAGAGACCACGTACATAAGGTCGTACAGCTTCATTGGCAAAAATTGACATAGCAATGCTGCATTTCCAAAAAGCAAATATTGTAAATTGGCTTTTACGTAAATAGTGACGTTTACATGCATTGTTGTTAATCAATGAATCGTATAAAGGATGATGAGATATAGTTTAAAGGGAACATGACATTCCTGTTATGACAGCAGCTGCTTAGATGGTAATTACTCTTTGTGTCAAATTTTTTGCAGTCGAAGTACACAGTGTTATTTTCAAAAATCTCACTTAACCCTAGCAGTGGCCAATGTTAGAAGTAACAAATGACCAACCCATTTTGGCGATTTTGCAGAGCTTTTTTTGAAAATTCGTAAAAATTCAACAATTCAAGTAAACCTAGCCAACCTCATATTCATTTTGTTCATATTATTTTGTTGTTTGTAATATAATAATGATTTAGATAGTGTATTTTTTCGGTAAAGTAAAAAAAAATAAAAAAATGATTTTTTTTTATTTTAAAAGCGGCCTCGGAATTTTTTTCCTACAGAATTTATGGGAAATATATAACATGTTAGGAAAATTTTTTTAAAATAAGTTTTTGGGGCAAAATATAATAACAAACGGAGAACCGAAAAAATTGAAAACCGTACAGTGTTAGTTTGTGTTGTAAAAAGTTATATAATATATGTGTATTCTAATAATGATATATACATGTTTGTAAAGCTAATGAAGTGAGGAATCAAAAACAGTCATACAGTTTATGGTAAAAATATTTTTTTATTTATAAATAAAATAATGTTTTTTGTATTTTAGCAATTTTGTGAAAAAAATTCATAGTATTTAGTACAAAACTTTTGTACCAAATGTTTTTACTTCAAACGAACATAAACATCTTGTAGTGTATTCAATTACCTACATAAAAATGTATAACACGTTGGGTAACAATTTTTTTTTTGACGTGCTAGGGGCATAATAATATAAATAAACGGAAAACCGCAAAATACAATCGCAAGAAAATACAACCTTTTATAAACACAATTTGACACTATTCAGTAAATATTCATGCATAATAAAATGCATGAAGATTACTGTTAAAAACACACACTCGTATCTCTAAAAATACGAAATAATAACGAATTTAGTAATCAAACGAGGGCGAAAACTCACCGGCAACAACACGCAATGGCGAATACAAGGCACTTTGTGTATGAGACCTTGACAGTAGTGACACACTTTCGTCGTCTTAGTCAGAGAAAACGGAAATAACCCTGAGCGCAGGGCTGCCACTATCACAAGCTACATTTCTTCCTCTTCAAAATGACATATTATATGACTAGTAATAATAACTTACACTAATTCGTATTTTGCATACCGTCACCTTGTGACGGTTGGCCATTTGTTATGAATTTCGAAAACAGCTGTTTTCATAAATTGTACCGGTTGTCCAATCAATATTTAGTTCTAGATATCACTACCACAATGAAGATAAAATCAATGGCTATCCAGTGGTACCACCCGCAACATTCCAAGACAAAAATTACCTGAGCAGGGTAATGCCAAACAAGACGTGTTTTGCCAGTTCCCAAGTGTCGGCTGCAAAAGTCGTGCCACGCCAAAAATTCATTTGATATCTAATCGTTGTGACATTGTTATTATATACCTGCTACAGGGTTTGTTTATGTAATAAAATGAAAGTTCAGAATGTGATCTTTTGAATGGTATATATATTGTTCTCATCTGAGTTGATTATAAGTGTTTTTTTACCGTTAAAATAATTTCGGCCCATACCGTCAGGTTGTGACAGTGGCCATTCTAAGCATCAAGGGCAAACCGTCACCCCGTGAACGTTGGCCACTGCTAGGGTCAAGAGCAAGTGGGCCACAAGTATATCCATATTATGTTTTCACCAAGCATAAAGTAACCTCTCTGAAAAGTCTGCAGTAAATTCCAATTTTCCAGCTTTATGACTTTCCAAATCACTCACACATTTTTACATACAAATTAATAAACATGTAATTCAGTTGCTGCAAACGAGTTATTATTCTATTAATCGAAAACATGGCAATAATCTCATGAACCTATGATGATCTGTCTTGAGTAGTATACAGTGTGTAAATTAAGTATTGAAACAAATCTGTATTTTTTAAACCGAAATAGACAGAAATATTCTGTTTGTGGCATTGATTCTTAACAAAAGTTTCGCAATTTTTTACACCAAAAAAATGGTTTCACCCCTTTAACAGGTTAGGGGGTAGGGGGTGACTAGTTTTTTTTAAATAGCAACCCCTATTGAGTGAATTTTGAAGGGCTTGTCAATAGAAACACAATGACGCAAACCCGAAGTGAATATCTCACCTCTAGCCAAAATGGCAGGTATTCCAAAATGGGTGCTTTTTCACATTAAATCAAATTTTGGAATACCTGCCATTTAGGCTAGGGATGAAATATCTACCTCGGGTTTGCGTCATTGTATTTCTTTTGACAAACCCTTCAAAATGAGGGGTCACTCAATAGGGGTTGTTATTAAAAAAAATAAATTACCCCCACCCCCTACTTTGTTAAAGGGGTTTAAAAATATTGTTGATGTGATAAAATTGTGGAACCTATGTTAACAATCAATTCCACAAACAGAATTTTTCTATCTATTTCGGTTTTAAAAATACAGATTTGTTTCCATATTTGTGAAATTGGTGTTTTTTCACATACAGTAAATCAAATTTTGGAATACCTGTAATTTTGGCTAGGGGTGAGATATCCACCCCGGGTTTGCGTCATTGTGTTTCTTTTGACAAGCCCTTCAAAATGAGGGGTCACTCAATAGGGGTTACTATTTGAAAAAAATAAGTCACCCTCTACCCCCTAACCTGTTAAAGGGGTGAAACAATTTTTTTGTTGGAAAAAATTGCGGAACCTTTGTTAATCAATGCCACAAACAGAATAATTCTATCTATTTCGGTTTAAAAAATACAGATTTGTTTCAATACTTAATTTACACACTGTATAATAAAGTAGGCCTATAGGCAAATGTGGTAAAAAGGCAGAAACTAACCCATAAAATAGGTATAAGTTAAATCGATAAGAAATAATTTTAAGAGTTACTGTGATATTAGGATTTTCCACTGATTTCGTAATAGAACATTACATTGCAAAGCATGACACGATGCAGAAGAAAATCAATAATTTTAAAATCTGAAAAACCATTGAAAATACTTCATTTTGACAAATTCAGTAAATCACAATATTAAAAAGTAGTGTAAAATTATGCATATGGTTGTACTGTAATGTATACAAATCTGAAGAGGAATTTTTAAAGGCCTCTGGGACAGAGCCCTAAGGGAATTTACCTAGTTTCTCTTTTGGTGGCTCATCTACAGACCAAGATCTTTCTTTTGACACCCCTACCAAGTTTCTACGCCCAGCCGTTCTCTCAAATTAGCTGTGACAAAAATCTCATTTTTCCTCCATAAGAAAAACATGGGAATGGAATTTTAAAGGCCACTGGGGCAAAGCCCCAAAGGAATTTATCTCATTCCTCTTTTGATGGCTCATCTACAGACCAAGACCTTTCTTTAGACACCCCTACCATGTTTCTACGCCCAGCGAGTCCCTCAAGTTAGTTGTGACAAAGAAAAACAGTTTCAAATTAATATACATAGATAATTCCAAATGAATAGCACTTCATTATGTTTTTAGGAATTGCCTGTTATAACCGACCTTTTGAGTTATCCGACCTAGGTCCGGTCCCATTATGGTCGGTTAAGAGGGGGCCTACTGTATTTTTTATTCCACCACATAGTATAACACATTTACACAAGATATTTTCACTAAAAGATGCAATAAGTACGCTAGTCCTAGGTTATGCCTGTATAATTTTCATGTTATGTGTGTGTAACTGTTTTTTACAGTAGGTTTCGAGACCCACATTATTCTCTTAAGTATTCTTACCCCATTGCGAAGCATGGGCAGAACAAATAGTTCATTATAAATTCTGTTACAATAAACTCACTTGTACAGCTGTCTTCAAGGCAAGATCATCATCAGTTCCAGTTACCCTCAAATATTTGGTTCTACTGTCATGTAATGTTTCTAAAACCTGGGAATATAATTCCTGGAACAAAATATTTTTTATGAGGTTCAAGTTTATCAGCTATATCACAGCTGCCTTTAACTACAGGCCGCGGCCTGGTAGAATTGGCAACGTCGCAAGTGGTGTTCTTTAGAGTCGGGACCACGTAAGTTTGCAGTTGAGGGAGGAGCCTATTTACCATATGGTTTTGAATGAACCAAAGAGAACCGTGCGGTGTTGCCAAATCTAATAATGAAAAGGCCTTTCCCCCAAAAGTGCCAAAGGTGCTTTAATAGGAGGGGGTGAATGCCACTACTTTACACTCTTTACAACGGACTCTCTTTATCTACGGACCCACAATGATGTTTTGTGACACGTGGCAACAACACTAGGTAGTGTAGTGCATACATACCGAACTACGGCAACCTCTGCAGCGACTTCTGGCCGAGACTGTACTGTTGGACCTTGTGAAATTTGGACCTTGTGAAACGCTATGATTATTTGATATTTTAACATTGGACTTTGTGAAATTTGGACATTGTGAAACGGCGATTGTTTGAATGTCATAGTTTTGGACCTTATGAAATTTGGACCTTGTGAAACGCTCTGTTCATTTGATATTTTAACGTTGGAGTTAGTGAAATTTGGACCTTGTGAAACGCTCTGTTTATTAATAATTTTACCGTTGGACTTTGTGAAATTTGGACCTTATGAACCTCACCCTGAAACTTTCAAAGTATGTACGGTACTTGAAATTTCTACAGATTTTTCTCATAACGTAGCATAATTAAGGAACACATACTAGAAAAAAAGACATATTGCTTTTACTATTATGTAGCCAGACACGATCATTGTCAATGAGCAAATACTAACAAATGCATTATACAACATTTAGACAACATATGACAGCTAGCAATTTGGGGAGCGAACTGGCGTAGTGGTTAGAGCGCGGGACTTCAGTCCCTGAGGTCCCGGGTTCGATCCCCACCAAGTCTCCACTGGATTTTATCTAAGTGATGATGCCGCAACCCCTAGGTCTACCTAGGTCTAGCCTGAAGTAATGTGAAAAGCAATCCCAGGCTTGTGCCTAGTGTCCTAGGACAAAAAAAAATATATATATATGACAGCTAGCTTACATTAGAAAAAGTCCAGTTGTGCTATGAAACACACAGAAAATCCACAACATTTTGTCCCCTGGAGGACTTTGGGTAAAGTTTTTTTTTTCTTTTTCTATTTGTTTACAATTGACAAAGTGTGAAATATCGCGTATTTTATGACATACCTGGACCTTTTCTTAGGTCAGCTGGCCGATATCATTTATCCTAAAATCACAAACCTGAACTTGAGCCTTTTCTTGTCTTGAACAAAACTATCTTATATTTAAGCAAGAGTACATTTTACTTACTCTCCTAATTTTATCTTCTTGTTAGTCTATGTTTTTTCCTCCCCCTGCACTACTAAGTCATTATGCATGACCGCTACTTACTGGATAGGGATACTATGACATGAGTACGAAAAATGCCTTAAATACTGCAACAACTAGATGTTCTGTAGAGCTATCAGCAATGGGAGTTTTATTTGCAAAAAACTTTAGAAGGAACTATTTGAATGGTAATGTCAAGGCTGTATAATTCCAAAATTCTGTTAATGCTCTTTAAATAAACTATAACAAAATATTTTAATGTCTACTCTTCATTAAATTGCATGTTCTTTTAAATTTTAGAAAAATATTGCTTTTTCATAGGTCAGACTAAGTCACAGTCAACAAATCCTCATATGATTTGTGGTGTATTTTGCTTAGTTTTACCTTCATATTTTAAGGAAACTTAATTAAATCGTATCATATTGGAATGGTTAGATTTTTAGTCGAAGCGATACAAGTAAAACTAACCTCTGCTCCTTCATAACTGAGGACAGCCACACAACTAACTAATGTATTCTTTTTAACAGCTTTACCAAGACGTTTACGATTTGGCCCAAAGATGCAGGGAATACCTTGTAGTTCAGCTTCTACTTTGAATTTTTCCACTTTTTCGTCTAGTCCCCCTATAAATTAATAAATGAATTATATCTTTATTCCAACAAGGTATTTATAAAATTGTACAACACTATTTAATGTAGAAAAAACAGATAAATGTGAAATTAAAAGATTAAATGAATTTAACCTTTGCATAACATCTATGTTACTGGTGGTCCAGCTTGAAAGTACTTTAAAGTTTGTGTAAGTTAGCTAGCAGCAATAATAATTTTTTTCATGTAGCTATTTCTTGAAATAAATTTTTTCCTTTTGTTTCTGGCACGGTTCTTGAGCAGTTGTCTTTTTGGTAAAACATCTCACCAGAGCAATTGCATTTTATTCCAATCATCTTTCTTTTCTCAGTTCTAGCTTTGGTGGCATTTTTATTTGTAATGGACTCAAATGTGTTGTGGATGTGATGGATATCAAACCTTTCCATCCCACACCAAAGCCTGAGGCGCTAACCACTTGGCTAGCAACACACCTTTTGTCTTGACCAAGGGTCTTGACCAAGTTCTTTACCTTTCATGCAGTATATAACTTCATGAATTTCATTTTCATGCAGATTTTTAGACATTTAACCAAGGCTGCTTTAGTAAATGATCCCAGGCCCAAGGTGCAAGGGGTTTTAGAGTTTGTTGAGGAGGCAAGAAGAAAAAATTCACATACAAAGAAGGTGGTGGGTGGCGGAATTATTTCTCGGGCCCTTAACGTGTCACAAGCAAACCACGGGCTTGATCGTTGTCCCTCTTATCCATGTTGCAACTTACTACTTACCCTCTCCGGGGTTTTTCTCCAAATCTGGTGCAATGATGAGCAGCTTGACTTTCTTGACTTGCAGATATTTGTTGACCTGATTGATCCCAGCAACATATCTGCGCTTGGCATTAGCCTTGATTGGCTCTCGAACAAAGAGACGGTCCTGGAAGTAAGCTACCTTCTCAAGAAGATCACAAACACTGTTAGTTAGTTCTACTGTTAAACAGTTGGTACAGTATCTGAAACACAAAGAATAGGACCGATAAGAAAAAAATATCCATTGGTGAATTTCAAATAGGAACTGGAACAACTGGAGGAAAACATTACAGCAATTGACCCCCTCGCCCTGATATGGGGAGATTTCAATGCCAAATCATCCTAATGGGAAGAGACCCGACTCGACAGGAGAGGACAGATAATTTCAGAAACCATAGCTTAGAGAGACCTGGTAGTAATAAATAATGGTACAAACAAAGCCAACATTCAATAGAAGGGGGTCCAAATCAGTAATAGATTAGAAGTTGGCCAGCCAAGAACTAGTAAGGCTGATTATCAAATGGGTAGTGTGGAACGAATAGTCGCCAATGAATGGCTGTCTAGAAGGTGCCAAAATTACAATAGTGTACAGCAGTTGCACTCAATGTACCATGTTTCAACACTTAGCATTAGATGAGTAGATGAAGTAACTACTTGGAAGACGGATAATGAATTAATTAGAATTTGATGACATAAACCTGCACCATCATCCTTGAGGGAATTTATTTGAAGTAGTAATATTTGGAAGGGAGTTAGAGGGGGGGTTTCTGCTCCAGCATGCTCCAAACCTGGCTATGTCACTGCTCAATAAGTAGGTGATGTGTAATTTTATCAAAACTTAACTTAAATCAGATGTTTTTGTATGACATATTTATACATTAAATAAAAATTGCTTCCTTTCAATTGTAAGTTAATTTTCTCATTTTCATGATCCTAATCTGCATTTACATACAGTGTAAGTCTCATAACAACATGATCTACACAGTGACGTATGGTTGACTTACTCTCTAAACCTCCTTGAATGAACATGAGCTGTGGAAGCAGAAGACATCATCTTTTGGTCATCTTTGTTTGAACTTTTCACACACTCTCTTACTAAGTGTTGATCTATAATCAATTTATTTTCACATGTAGAAGAGTTCATATTTGTTTCTAACATTATGTTTTCAACTTTATCTTTAGCTGAACACTGTTCTGGGTTGCCATTATTGTCAGCAGTAGGTTCTAAACATTCATCTAACATCGGAATGTTCTCTCCGTTTTGTAATAATTTCTTCTTTCTTTCATTTAATATGTGGATTTTTAGCTTAGATGGCTTTTGCACCTTGTCTGGCCTCACTTTTCCTTTTCTTCTTGTTGGGTTGTCTGAATCTAATATGTTTCCAGTTAAGATGGTGCGAGTTGTGGGTGGATCTACTTTCTTTGGAGCTGGTTTTTGTACCTGAAAAAGCTATATTTAAGCAATTTTATTGCAACTGATAAGACCATATATTTAGACTTATATAGGCTTACAGTAGTCCTGGACAGTCAGTATTGGACAGTCAGTAGTCCAAAATTGTGCCTTATTTCAAATAATGTTGTTCAAAGCTTAAATGTTTCGTTGCACTGCAACATCGTCGGAGCTTTATGTCAAAAACATCAAATAATTTAAACATAGAACAAAACATGAAACATTTAAACACAAAATAACACGATAGCGCTATCATGACAAGGCACGGCAGCGGTTGTAGGTAGACTGGCCTACCTACAACCGCTGCCGTGCCGTGTCATGATAGCGCTATCGTGTAGTAACTTCAGAGGTTACAAGTTATTAAGCCAAAATTACACATTCTACCTTGGCGGGAAGAGCATCCTACAATATACTCAGTAAGTTACTCAGAATGAATAGCAACCTCAACATTCAGCATTTTTTTCTGTTTAAACTACAGTAGGTGAACAATAATTAAGCCGCGGAGTGGTCAGTATAAAAGATGAGAACTGATTAAGGATTTTGCTTAATTTTTAAACAAAGTTTGATGATGATGTTTCAAAGTTAAATGTAGGTAGTACTATTCACTAAAAACAATATAGGCTAATACAAAAACCACATTTTTTACTCACCTCTGTTTTACTCAGCAAAGCTCGACTTAAATCAATTTGAATAGGATCTTTTACTTTTGGCTTCCATGACTTTTCAACTATTTTGGTTATCCTAATTTCATTAACATTTGAATTTATAACAGTACGATTTCTTATCTCATCTTCATTAATAAATGTGTTAGATGGAGTTGCATTAATTTTCTTTTTCGTTTTAATAGAACCTAGGGTAGGAAAGTCTTCTGAAGCAAGCCCTAAAGAAAAACTAGGTTTCTCCATTAGCGCAACGTCTTCTTTTTTATTGGTCTGCAATTTTTCTAGTTTTTTCATATGTTTTCTAGCAGTCACTTTTATTTTTCTCCGAGAGACAATTTCATCTCTTGTCACTGGATAATTCGTATATAAATCTGACTGAAAAGGTTTTGTTGAATTTGTCATGTCATTTAGTGCACTTGTATCAACCTCATTGCAAGACATAGAGGATTTTACATGATTTCTAATTAACTCTGCTGAATTACGTTTGACAGATGAAAACTGTTGTTCAAAGCGTTTTGATTTTTGAGTTCCAAGTGTCATAGTCTCAATGTTGTGACTATTATTTTTTACTGGGTCAATATGATCCATTTTTAAGTTTTCAAATTTGTATGTAGGATTAAGTGCATGTTTCATTGACTCTCCTTTGTCAGCACATCACAGTTAATGTAACTTTATTAGCCTTTATGCTATCTTTCTTATTGTGGCTGCAAAAGTATTATGTCTGCAACAAATAAAACACATGCACTAATTAAGACTAACTTATAACATTAATCATCTATAGTATAGATTTATTTAATAGAATAAGGGTTTGCCCTAGGCCTATTAGCCTACATCCCTTTTCCAGTCGTCCTACTTAACTTAACCGATTTTTACGATATAATCGTCATTAGGCTAGTACCTGGGGACCAAGCTTTGCTTGGAGAAAATCATACTGTTACTGTTACTGTTCGATGAAATGGCGACCATACATAGTAGGTATTTTAAGCCAAGTATGAATGGAGATGAGTGTAGGATGAGTGGCGAAAGTAGGCCTAAGTTATACTCTGAGAGCAGTTTTTGATCAACGTCAACATTAAGCCATCGATTCGTCTACGCTCCTGCTCTCAAAGTGATGATCATCGGCCTGTTGTTTATCAATATCTCTAGGCTTTAAGATCTAAAATTATTTATCTCCTTTCATTCGGCTGCACTTTACTTGACGTCCTACACTCATTCGAATGAAAATATCGATCAATATATCGATTAATCGATTGCTTCATTCGATATATCGTTTGGTTAGTTACCCTAACCAAACGATATATCGAATGAAACAATCGAATGAAAATATCGAATCGAAAAAAACAATCGAATGAGTGTAGGACGTCAAGTAAAGTGCAGCCCAAAAATAAATTAGGTATGATTCCTCAAACGTAAGATTTATGTACTAAGCTAGTCTAAATAATTGATTACTTAAAGCAAACCAATCGAAGACTGAAGAGTACTAACCAATCAACAAAACAAACTTTAACTTTTTTATTATTAACCTTAACTACTTCTGGCTTCTGAGTCTGACAGAGAAAACAGAACAGAACACTTGACCTTGCAGGCAGCGGTTCTCCTCTGGTTTTTTTTTCACTGGATGACAGACAAGCTAGTTAGTACCGTTGTCTGCCGCTTGTTGCCGCGCTCATCTGTGTCTGTTCTCTGTTTGTCTGCTCCTCCTCACCTCAAGCGGGAGTCGCCGAAGCCGGTTGATTTCTTTTTGAGGTTAAGTTAAAATATATAGACAAGAGTTATTTATTAAAAATACAAGTATTCTTGTAAGTTGTAAGTATTGTAGTTGTTGTGAATATTGGTAAGTTCTGGTAGGGACTGTTATTTTTGTTCTGATTGATCAAGGACTTAACTTAGTTGTTAAGTGAGGCTAGAGTATTTCAAGTTCACTTACTTTTATTTTTCATTCCATTTTTGGGACACTCCTTTATGATAAAAACGTAGTAAGTCTACTAGGCCTATTTTATATTAATTTCATTTTTGGATTCAGCATTTAAAAAAAATTACCTAGGCCTATGTAGGCCTAGTTGTATAAAAATTGTGTGTTAAAGTGTGTTCAATTTTCACTGTTTCATTCCATTTTTGGGACACTTCTTTCTGATATAAACATAGTAAGTTAGGTTAGGCCTATTTTAACTTGATTTCATTTTTGGATTCAGCATTTTTTTTAAACTAAGTCGTATACAAATTTTGTGTTACAGTGTGTTCAACTTTCACCAACAAAACAACTAAAATAGGCCAGACTTAGACCTAACTTAACTTAGTTAAAAGAGGTTAAAACTTAATAATTTTTGTTGTGGTATGCCTTTAAGTCAATGTTTGTTTAGGGTTCTTAACTTCTTATTCTGAGCTATCGACACAGTCAAAATGGCTCCTTGTTTCACTTGTGAGTTGTGCGATAAAGCATTCAGCTCAAATTTTAATCTGAAAAGACACTATAAGAATGTACATCTGGGATATGAGCCAAGTAACCTAGTCCAATCCTCCCCCTCTCTCACATGTGGACTTTGCAGAAACACTCTTAGGAGTAATGTTGAGTTTGAAAATCATCTAAATACTCATCATGCAATAGTTTTGAATGTAGTTGAAGTTGATTTCAATAATATGAGCGAATTTGAAAAATGGAAAAGTAGTGTAGAAGGGGAACAAAATTGTCTATTTGTTAAACATAGGGGAATGGAGAAAAATAATGACGGTTCTTCATCCATTGTTTACCATTGTAATCGATCGGGTAATTTTAAAGGTCAATCTTCACCTTCTACAAGGAAAAGACATTTGAAAATCCAAGGGTCGTGTAAAATTAACGCCTACTGTCCAGCAAAGATCTCAGCTAAATTTGAAAGTAATGGAATAATCAAGGTCAGATTTTGTGAGACACATGTTGGCCATGAGGCAGAATTAGCCCACATTCCTTTGTCAGAGATTGAAAGGAGGGATTTGGCATCAACAATTGCTCAAAAAGTGCCCTTTGACAATATTCTTGAAAATGTTCAAAAGTCAGTCTGTGGTGAAATTAAAAGAAGACATCTTTTGACAAAACAAGATCTACGTAACATTGCAAAAGAGTATTCATTGGACAGTGAGTGCATTCTTCATTCTGATGATTCGTTGAGTGTTCACTCATGGGTGGAACAGGTCCGTAGCAGTGATGATGACTGTGTATTGATCTACAAGCCAAAGGGTGTTGATTGTCCAGAATACCCCCAATTACAGTCAGAGGATTTTATTCTAGGCATTATGACGAAAGCACAGGAAGAGATGCTAAAAAAGTACGGTGGTGATGTAATTTGTATGGACTCAACACACGGAACTAACGCCTACAATTATGAAATGACCACATTGTTAGTTTTAGATGACATGCGGCAAGGATTCCCATGTGCCCTTTATTTTTCAAATAGAAATGATCATGTTGGTATTGAAATTTTTCTGCAATCGATTAAAAATAGAATAGGCTGCATCAACACTAAGACATTGATGACAGATATGGCAGCTGTCTTCTATAATTCATGGAAATCAGTAATGGGTGAAGTTGAAAAACAACTTTTTTGCACATGGCACGTTCAACGAGCTTGGCAAAAAAAAGTTAATCAGATCAAAAATGAAGAAAAAAGAAAGAAAGTCAACAAAATGATGTTTACTCTTTTGTATGAGATTGATGAGAGGGCATTTGAAAGTGTTTTACCTGTTTTTCTAGATGATCTTGGTGCCGATGCTGACACTGCTGTCTTTGGAAAATATGTTGCAGACAATTATGTAGGAAATCGTATGTCATGGGCATATTGTTACCGTAAAAATGCTGGGATCAATACGAACATGCATTTGGAAAGGCTCCACGGGATTTTCAAACACTTTTACTTACGGGGTAAATTGGCAAAAAGGCTCGACTTAACTGTTCATGCATTGATGAGATTCATTAATCAAAAACTTTTTGACCGAATTGTTGTTCTCCACAAAGGAAAACTGACTAGCAAGTTGAGAAACATCCGGGACAGGCATAAGAAATGTCTTAGTTTAAGTTCTGACTGTGTGCTGCAATCATCAAATGATTCCTGGGCAGTATTTTCTTCTGTTAATATGTACACCGTTACAGAAAATGTAAAATCATGTAGTTGTTCTCTAAAATGTGTGTACTGCAAAGTATGCATTCATAAGTTCAGTTGCACATGTTCAGATGCATGTATACAGTGGAACATGTGCAAACACATTCATCTAGTTTGTCAAACACTAAAGAATCGTTTAGGAAGTGGTCCTGCTCTTGATCCACATGTAAACGATGATGAAAAGACTGTAATTGTGTCAGCTGTCAGCAAAAGTAAAAAAACAACCTTAGATTTAGAAAGTGCAAAACAAGAAATCAGTTGTCAGTTTTCACATATCATTAACAAAATCAGTTCATTTGAGCAGCTAGAAGTCATCGCTAAAAATCTGAAATCGTGGCAACCACAGATTGATGCTGTTAGAGAAGGAGAACAATTTACAAAAACGTTCTCAAGTGTTAAGAAAATAAATACCCGAAAAAACATCGACCCCCAAAGAAAGTTCATAGCAAAAAAGAAGAGGCGTAAAGAAACTTCATTGAAACCAGATAATGAAGAAGCGAACAAAATTGTCCTGTCAGCTCTTATTGAAAACGCTTCCTATCCCACAACACATTCTAAATAATTCATCATCAAAGGGTCAAGCAAATGAATTTATATGATTTAAGATTTAAAAAATTTAATTAGGCCCGGTTACCTTCTACTTACCTTTAACCTAGGCCCTCTTCTCCATGGTCGTTGAGACCAGGGAATCGTCAAATAAATGTTCTTTCTTCTTTGGGTGTGGTAAGGTGTGTGGTCTAAGAAATATTCATTTCGACCTACTAGGCACTTATTGAACAAATTCAGTTGTCAAGCCTTTTTTTGTTTACTAATAGTGGTTTATACAGGGTGCAGCAAAAAATATCTATTTCATGAGCGACTCAGCGAGTTCAGTGACAGGTCGTCTGAGAGGGAGGTTGTCGTACCACAGTACAGTAAGAACCTTTTTGACAATTTTTATATACTAATTTGTTGCGCCACAGTCTTGCGCACTTCTTTTTGACAATTGTTACAAACAATTTGTCGCGCCTCAGTCTTGCGCACCTCTATGACAATTGTTACATTGTCGCGCCTCAGTCTTGCGCACCTTTTTGACAAATTGTTACGATCAATTTGTCGCGCCTCAGTTTTGCGCACCTCTATGACAATTGTTACATTGTCGCGCCTCAGTCTTGCGCACCTTTTTGACAATTGTTACAAACAATTTGTCGCGCCTCAGTTTTGCGCACCTCAATGACAATTGTTACAATCAATTTGTCGCGCCTCAGTCTTGCGCACCTTTTTGCCAAATGTTACAAACAATTTGTGACGCCATAGTCTTGCACACATTTGTCGAATAAAAAAAAGCAATTTACTGAGTGGCAAGACTAATGGCAGTTGTGTAAATGATAGGTAGGCCTACCTCGTTGAAGCAAAAATGCAGAGGGCAGCTCAAAAGCAATTTTATGTATCAAATGTCTCATTTTACTATAATTGTTTTTAAATTTAACTTAGTTCATCAATGTAATTAGAGGAACTGTAAAAAAATCCTTGATTTATTTATTTTTCAATTTGACAATTATTGTGATAAAAATGTGTAGTCGACTAAGATTTAAACAAATTGCAAATGAAAGTAGTTTTCGTTTAGTTAGTTTATTTGTATCATCAATGTTTACAATAAAAAAGAAAATTGCTTTTGGGCTGTAATGCAGGGTTCTGCTGTACTAAAAATCTGTGCATCAGATCACGGTCCCAACCCCGAAAAAATTAAAGTCATTTGATTTCTTGTGAGGGTTAGAAGTTGTTCGTAAATATTTTAAATAATATAATTATTTTTATATACTAAAATGAGACATCGCATCAATCTATATGGTCGCCAATTTGAACACAGTTGAATGAGCCATTCATAAAGTTCTCTAGTGTCTAATAGTATACTTCATCACTAGGGCCTAAAGTGACTCTTTTTGACCCAACCTCTAGTTGACTCAATAATGCCAGCTGATTTGAAAATATCGTTTAGTATTTTAATTAGTGTTGTCAACAGGCGATATGGCAACGTTGCACTAGCCTCTTCTTGTGATTGGCTACCGCCAACTGCAGACTCTAGTGGTTAAGCTGCTAACATATGGTAAAGGAGTAATAAAAACAAAACTTTTCCGTAAGTAACTTAGGTGAGCTATAGGATTATCTTTTGTGTAAACCTTTCACAGAATTAATCAAACCTCAATAGGTGCAGACCTAACTTAGTTATGCATTTATCAATGCTTTATTTTCGATATATCGAGACTTTTTCTTTTACTTCACGATATGTATTCCTTCTGTTTTACTATCTTCAAACACATTTAAATTACAAATTAAAAAATATTATATTGAGATGAAACTGTTCTAAACTAACCTACCATAACTAACAAAACTTGCAGTAGGCTTAATTACCATTTCAAAATTTTGTTTGATAACAGAAAAGGATATGGGGAATAGGAT